TGATGGGACATAAGACCCAGTTAATCACGCCTGGGAGAGGAAACCAGATCAATTTCCTCTGGTTAGTGAGGTCATGAAATTAGTAAACCTACTATTGCCACTTTCTTCAACTACTATAGTTTCTAAATACATTCTAAAGAATTACTCTTATACCCACAGATAAGTGTAGCTCTTGCCCTCTCTATATATGTATATATATTTATAATTATATATTTATTATATTTATATATAGTGTATATATAGTATGTGTGTTTGTATGTAGTGTAAGTATAAGCTGATAGTCCATTCATATGTATATGTTTGTACTAATGAAAACTCATATTTGGGGAGAATTAATTCACCTCTCAGCTAAGATATATAATATATACAATATTAGCAACTGTGTTTATATATATATATAAATCAGTTTATGTACTATATTATGTATTATATACATTGTAATGTATCATATGTACTATATATTGTGAATTATATATAAAATATTATACATTATACAATTATATATTGTGTGTCATATATGTATGGGAGAGGGGGACATGGGAGGGATTGGAGAGAGGAAAAGGATTAAAGAAATGATAAAAATTATGTAACTATATTATATATACATGAAATTTTTAAAAAACTTAATTGAATTAAAAACATTAACAATTTTTTTTGTAAAGAAGTAGGTGTGCAAAAATGTGTACACAAAACTTGGATGAGTCGAACTGGAACTGACCTAAAATCCTCTTTCCTGCCATCTAACCTTTATGGTACAAGAAAATTCTCTTCAACCTGCCAAAAGAGGGAAACAACATTACAATCCTGCCCAGCTGCAACATCCATGAAACACAAAAATGAGCAGCCTGGCAAAATATAAGTAAAGATGCAAGAAGCATCACTGTTGGTGGCAGCCAAAGGCTGCCTAACTGAACACACCACATTCAACAGGACAGAAAGCATGCTTGGTATGAGACACTTAGCAAGCATCCTGGTGCCAGTGAGGTCATGGACATCAGAATGGAATATCCTAGCCTGACTTTGCTAGATGAGCACAATTCTTTACTACATTCTAATATTATCCTTATGCTCACAGATAATTGTAAACACCACTCCCTATCAAAGAGCCCTCTCTTTACAGCAAATGGAGACCATCACAGGATACTTACTAGACTGGACACAATTCATAGATCAACAGGTAGTGAATGGGAAGCCAGCACCAAAGGATACATATATATCATAGCTTTTGCAACTAGGGCTCAGAGGACATCAAGGAAGAATGGACAGAGAGATTTTAAGAGCCAGAATAGAAGGAAAGTCTCCTGTGAAAGTCTTTCCTAGAAATTGATACATAAACAAGGCCAAAACAATGGTAAAAATCAACAAACATATTAATGTTGAAAGGGGAAAATTGTGCCACTACTGAACAAAGAACTACAGACAAGTAATGACTAATAGGAGAAGAATTAACTCTCCCAGGAATGAGCCCCCTTATTGGTTGGCCAATGCAGAGTGGTCAGCCCTGAATCCATACACACACAGACAACAAAACAGACTTATCAAGTTGCAAGTATATATTTGGGCACACATACACATATGTGTGACTGTGTGTGTGAGATTGCATGTTATTGTTTCAAATATATATGAATAAGAGGCTATAAACTTACGAGTGTGAGCAATTATGAGTAGTCAGAGTGGGGAAAGAAAGAAGGGGAAAGTGATGCATTTCTATTTCAATTAAAAACATATTTTAAAATATTTAGATTTGATTTGAACCATGTAGTAATCTTCACAGATGGATTCTGAGATTCAGCCTTCTTACAGAATTTTCTAAACTTAATGGAAGGATGATGCAATGCTGTCATTATTCTTAGTATGCATAAGTATGAATATGCAAATAATATTGATTTATGATAGCCCACAAATTCAGTTTCCTATGTTAATGAAAGGTAAATGAATATTGTGTAAATAAGAGTCAAAAACTCCTAATTAAAACAGTTAATTACTAAAAGTGAAAAACATGGTTTGGTTTTGTGGTATGATACTGAAAAGGTGAGCATCTGCTGGGCCAGTCATGGATTTCCAGCATAACTTTCAATTATCATAAATGGAGAAAATATGATGTTCCATTGTAGAGTCAAATTTAAATGTCATCTATCTACAAATCCAGCCATGCATGAGTTGCAAGAGGGAAAACTCCAACCCAAGGAGGTTAACAATACTCATGAAAAAAAAACAGGAAATAAATAATCACACACACACACAAGCTAAATCAAAAGAAGGGAAGCATATCCACACACACAATCACTACCACCACCAACAACAACAATAACAAAATAAGAGGAATTAAAAATCATTGGTCATTGATATCTCTCAATATCAGTGGTCTCTATTTCCCAATAAAAAGACATGGGCTACCAGAATGGATGTGAAAACAGGGTCTACCTTTCTGATGCATATAAGAATCACACCTCAGCATCAAATGTAGACATTACCTCAGGACAAAGGGTTGGAAAAAGATATTCCAAACAAATGGACCTTAGAAGAAAGCTGGTGTATTAATATCTAACAAAATAGTCTTCAAACCAAAACTAATAAAAATAGATAGGGGGATAAAAGAGTCTGAGAAAGGAAAAAAAATAAGGAAAGACAGTACATATCATACACATCAAAGGAAAAATTCACCAACATAAAATCCACCAACATGATATTTCAATTTTTAACATTTATGCTCAAACCACAATGGCACCCACTTTTGTAAAAGAACTACTATTACAGCTTAAATCTCATAATGACCTTCAGACCATCCTGATAGTTGGAGACTTCAATATCCCAGTCTCACCAAAGGATATTCAGATTAAAAACTAAACAGAGAAATACTGGAGCTAACAGTTGTTATTAACCAAAAAGACCTAAAAGATATTTACAGAACATTTCACTCAAACACAAAATGATACGCCTTCTTCTCAGCATCTCATGGAACTTTTTCCAAAATTGACCACATACTTGGACACAAAGCAAGTCTCAACAGATAAAAGGAAACTGGAATAACTCCCTGTGTCCTGTTATAGCACCATGAATTCAAGCTGGACTTACACAACAACAGAAAGCCTACAAACTCATTGAACATTAACTCTCTAGTAAATGAATACTGAGTCAAGACAGAAATATAGAAAGAAATGAAAGACTTACTGGAATTCAATAAAAATGAATACACAGCATACCTAAACTTGAGGGGCACAATGAAAGTGGTGCTAAAAAAAAAGTACATAAACTAAGTGCCAACATTTAAAATAAAATTGCAGTGATCTCTTACTAGTATCTTAACAGCACACCTGAAAGTTCTAGAAGTAAAAGAAGGAAACACACCCAACAGGAGTACACTGAAAGAAATAATCCAAGTGAGGGCTGATATCAATGAAACAGAAACAAAGAGAACAATACAAAGAATCAGTGAAACAAAGAGCTTGTTCATTGAGAAAATCAAAAGATAGACAAATGCTACCCCAAATTACTGCAAGATAGAGAGAGGATATTCAAATTAATAAACTCAGAAATGAAAAGGGGGACATAATAAATGATACCATGGAAATCCAGAGAAGCCTAAGGGCATATTTTAAAAAACTTTAGTTCACCAAATTGAAAAATTCTGAGAGAAATGGATAATTTTTCTTGACCGATATCACTTACCAAAGTTAAATCAAGATCAGTAAAACAATTTAAATAAACCTATAACCTACTCCAATGAAAGAGAAGCAATCATTAAAATCTCTCAACTAAAAAAAAAGCCCAGGAACAAATGGTTTTAGTGCAGAATTCTACCAGTTTCAAATAGCTTTACTAATACCAATACTTCTCAAATTATTCCAAAAAATAAAAGCAGAAGGAACACTGCCAAATTCATTTTATATGATCACTGTTACCCTGATACGCAAACCACATAAAGATTCAACAAAGAAAGGATATCAAAACGTTTTCCCTTATGAACATGAGTGCAAAAATACTCAATAAAATGCTTGCAAACCAAACTTAACACATCAAAAAGATCATCCACCATGTTTAAGTAGGCTTCATTCCAGAGATGCAAGGATGGTTCACATATGAAAACAAGTCAATGTAATCCACCATATAAAGAAACTGAAGGAAAAAAAAAAAACATGATCATCTCAATAGATGCCAAAAAGCTTTTCACAATATCCAATACCCCAACTTTATAAAAGTCCTGGAGAGATTAGGGATACAAGGGACATATCTAACATATAAAGGCAATTTTGTTTTGCCATGTTTAGATGTTCTATCTTGGAGACTTTTTCCTTTATGATAGGAGATTGAGTGGGAGTGGATCTGGGCACGAAGGAGGTAGGAGGAGAGCTGGGAGAAGAAATTGTGATCAGGATCTATTGTATGAGAGAAGAATCTATGTATAAGGATGATGATAATAATGATGTTGTCGTTGATGAAGAAGATGATGATGACAGAGAAGGAGGAGGAGGTGGGAAGGGAGTCCACCATGGGCCTCCTGGACAACTGCCCTCTTGCTGAACCCTGGAATTAGATACGCCGTTTACTCAGGCCATTTCTCAGCATTGTTTATGGAGCTGGACTCAGAACATAAGGGAAATGGAGATTGAAAAACACAAGGCTGTCCCGAGGGAGAGCTAGCCTGTTTCTACCCAAGTAATAAATGCATGTAGACAGGTCAGCTATCAGGGTATCACACCTATCAGCTCATGAGTGGGGATTTGAAGAAAGAAGACTTTTAGTAGAAGACCCACCTAGGCGAGCTGATGAGTGCCTGTTTCAGTGGTCCTCTAATCTCAACCCTCTTCATAGGTGATCTACTGCTCTGATACCCTCAGGAGTCGAATGTCTTCTGCTGGCACAGGAAATGTGACAGAACACTCCTGCTGTGGGACGGTCTGTATGTCAAATTGCTCTGATTGGTCAATAAATAAAACGCTGATTGGCCAGTGGCCAGGCAGGAAGTAGGTGGGACAAGGAGAGGAGAATTCTGGGAAGCGGAAGGCTGAGGCGGAGAGACACTGCAGCCGCCGCCATGACCAGCAGCATGTGAAGACGCCGGTAAGCCACCAGCCATGTGGCAAGGTATAGATTTATGGAAATGATTAATTTAAGATAAAAGAACAGTTAGCAAGAAGCCTGCCACGGCCATACAGTTTGTAAGCAATATAAGTCTCTGTGTTTACTTGGTTGGGTCTGAGCGGCTGTGGGACTGGTGGGTGACAAAGATTTGTCCTGACTGTGGGCAAAGCAGGAAAACTCTAGCTACACACTCCTCAGCTTATGTGTACTTTGTTGTTGTTGTTTTTCAGTGAGAATTCTGCCGTGATAAGCCCCGCTCAACACCTTCACAAGGATTTTACTCAGTCATGGAGTCATCTGGTGGGGATGCCAATCACCAGCCACACCTCCCTCATTGGCCACTTTCTGTTCAGAATTATAAAGTTCAAGGTCTTTGCTGCTTTTCTCTCTCCTGCTGCTTCTCATTTTTCACTGCACTAGAAATAAACCTGAATTTCCAGGAGGGGTTTATTTATTAACACAGGATCTAAGCAGTCTTGTTCATGTGTTGATTCCAGAAGGAAGTATGTTTATTAGAATAATGCTAAATATAAAAACAATGTCACATTCCAAATGGCTTTGTGTAAAAAAATGTGTATTTTTATCATCTGCTAAACATCATCTGACACAATCTTTCTCATCACTGTTTCCTTATTAATGGGAAGAGCTATACTTTCTTATAATTTGTGTCTGAAGTATAGCATATTTCACTTAAATGTTATTGGATTTATAATAATAAGTATAACGTTGCTAGAGGGCAAGTATTTTGTTTTATTATTAAAAACAATACCAATAAGTGAAAATAAAAGTCTTACTCAAAATGACATATTCTGTCTAGTTAAATATTTAATAATCATTTAAATTCAACAACAGTCTGCCTAAGTTGAAAATATTGAAATGAGTCCTGTAAAAATCGTCTTAAAGTCAAGCACTGGAAACATACTCTGTGCACTTCATTTCATTTATAGTCTCTAAGAACTATTATCATTTTTAATAAACTTGTATATGGGATTTGAAGCCAAATACTTCCACTCAAAAGGCAAGAATTTATTATCCAGAAGACACCCAAAGAGGCACTAAAATGTATTCCCTGCTGATGAGTTCCAAATGAATTGTAAAAACTGTATTTTATTAATCTGGTCACAATTAAAGAGCTGCAGCTGCCTTGTCTACAGCCCTAATGCTCAGTTTGGTAAGGATTTCTTTTTCCATTTCAACACTGCTGATCAACAAGGCTCTGATGGCTGAGCTCCCAAGGCAAATGTGGTGCTGTGCTTTACAGAACAGAGGAACCTGTGTAAATTTAAATAAACAATAATGCAGACTCAAAAAATACTCTCATAAGTATATCTTGACTTTCCTCTTTGCAGTTTTTATGCATAATTACATGTGGCATGCTAACTTGTATATGTGTCTGTATATTGCCAACATACATAAGCATATATAATTCATGCATGCCTTCACTTTAAAAAAATAAATATATTGAACTCTACTTTCATTAAATATAATAAACCAATAGCTGCCTTCAGAGAATAACAATAAATTACATCGTAAAGGTTACTTTAATAAAAGTATAAAAGAAGGGATCTTCTGGAATCCTTTGTTTAAAGTAAAATGAAAACTGCATTCTTGTTTCATAAAGCAAATTACTTCTTGAAATTTTTAATAAGATTACTGTCACACTCAGTCAGGGTTCCTGACAGCATATATTAGCTTACCACTCCGTTATCTAACTGTAATATTGCTTTAAAGTCTTCAAATTCAGGATTTTCTTGATACTTTCACAAGTTTGTTTCACGTTAAAATGAAAAGAAAAAGAATCAGCAGTCATATTTATCACAAGCACATTAAACCCATATTAGGCAATAAACTTATTGCATACTCTTGTTCTTCCTCATTAGCCCTTTAGACAACTTGGTTGTTAGCAGGGCACTTACACAACATGCAGCAGAAGAACTCAAGGTCATAGCACATGGCTAACATGACAAACTGGTTTTTAAAGCATTAATAGTAGTAAACTCATTTCTTGAAAACAACAACTGCTTCATGCATGAGGGTTTGTATAAATAAAGTTTCTGACACAAATAGTAACATGAAAGTGTAAAGAGATAGATAATGTTTCAAGAGAAAGCTGATTCATACCATGGCCTGTTAATGTCAATTAGTATCACCAGCATGAGACTTGGTAGAAATGTTAACCCCTAACGTCCTAAAGTATGGAAATATTTTCAAATATATTCTTAACATTTTAATCGAATTGCTTTTCTTTGCAGAGAGTGTAGGATATAGTGAGATCTGGAAGGAGTTGTAGGGGAAGCAGGGTGATGGCAGAGGATATGATCTGAGTACATTCTCTTCATGTAAAAAATTACTAAATAGTTATTTCTTCTGATTTCTTTCAAAACTTTCATAATTCTTTGTGGGTTTTGCATCATGTATTCAAATCCCACTTATCTCCCCTACCCTTGAATCTGCCCTCTGCCCTTGCAATCTATCCCCGAAAACAAAACCAAATTTAATAGAAAAAAACAAAAACCAAATAAAACAAAAGGAGAAGAATCTTGTCCTGGAAGCTGTGGTGTGGCCCATTCAGTTTACCCTTTCTTTAGTCCATTCATTTTCACTTGCACATGTTCATTGCCATGAGTCATTGGTCTGGCTTAAAGCCTTTTGCTTCTGCTACACCAAAGATAATGGGCTCTCACTGGGGCTCTTCTTGGATATTCTGTTGTTCTGTGTCATGGAGATCCTGCTGTTTGGATCTGTAGGGTCATCCTTTCACGTGCTCCAACAGTTCATAGATGAGGTAGATGTTGGGGTGGGCCAGCTCACAGATGGTAACTACATTGGTCAGCCTAAGCCCAACAAGTTTCCCTCATCCTCACTACCCAGGTGAGCTCTCCAGCACTGCCTCAGCGAGCTCAATCAATGCAGCGTGCCGCACTCCTGTTTGTGCGGGGCCAGCTCTCCTGTTTGTGCGGGGTCCTCAGATCTGGTTCACGCACACTCATACCACCAGGGCCAGCTCTCCTGTTTGTGCGGGGGCCCTCTCTCCTGATTGCTGTAGGGGGAATATTGGAAGAGGGATCAGCTTTCTTGCTCTCATGTTTTCAGGGCTGGCTCATCTGTGCCCCCGACAGCAGGGTCATCTCTAATATGCTGCCCAAGTGGGGTGCAGGTCCCCCTCTCCTGTATGCTGCATCTGGTGATGGGTAGGGCGAGTGCTCTCAATCTTGTGACCCCTGGGCCAGCTCTCCTGCCTGCCACAGATAGCTAGAGGCAGAGTTGGGCATTTCACCCATGCCACTGCATTGCAGGCGAGGCAGGGCGGTTAGCTCTGTTGCTTTCACACCTTCAGAGCTGGCTCCCCTGCGCCCCTGACAACAGTGTCAGCTCTAGTGTGCTGTCCAGGTGAATCGCATGCCTGTGGTAAGGGGTGGGGCTATCTTTCTGAGTGTGGAGGCCAACTCTCCCCTGCGAGGTGGCACAGCTTTCCTGCTGCATTATCCAGCCAGGGGCAGGTCCATCTATCTCAGGGCCAATAAAGAGTGGGCTCAGCACAGCATGGTTCCAATGACCCCTTGTGCTAACAAGGACATCATCACAGACCCCAGCTTCAGCAGGACCATGAACCCAGACATGGCCCTCAGCAGTAGCTCGGGTCCGGATATCATCAGACAACACCATGGTCCCAGGTGACAATGTAGGTCACTCAGATCAACATGCCTATGGCTACATGGCCTTCAGATACCCTCATGGCCGTATGTTGTGGACGAGATCCCAGGCATCTGTGTGGTCTTTGGTGGCAGCATGTGCCACAGACATCAATATAGACCCCAGCTGTGGTAGGACCATGGACCCTGACATGGTCTTTGGTAGCAGCCTGGGTCCAGACGTCACCATGGTCCCAGGTAGCCACTCAGATTGGCATGGTCCCTGTGGCAGCATGGCCCTCAGACACCAATATGACCACAGGTAGTGAGTGGCCCAGATCCCTGGCATCAGCATGGCCTTTGATGGTCTTAGCTGTGGACATCAACACAGACCCTGGCTGCAGCAGGGCCACATAGAATTGCTTTTAATAAATGGCATTATGTCATATAAAACGGTGCGTGCTGGGGGTAGATTAGCTTTCTGAATGACTTGAGTGGCCATGTGTGGTCATACATTACACACTGACACCAGAAGATCTCAGGTTCATGGGATTGTTTCGATCTAGCTCTAAGAACAACCGAAACCACAGTGGAAAAGCTGCTGGCTTTGTAAGCAATCGCCAACCTCAGTGCCAGTCTTGGCTCACTCAGCCCTGCTGCCTCCATCTGCTGACTTCTGTAACAACAATTACCCAAAAATAGCATGTGTTTAAAAAACCACCTGCTTCTGGTACTAATTTTTGTGGTGACAACAACTTCCCCTAGTACTATGACTGATATATTACTGCGATTCCACAGACTTTGGGGAAAGACGTCTTGGGACTTAGAATATGGAACTTAGTGTCCTAGGAATATCATTTAAACTGTTTAACCTCTGAATGTCTGGAGCTTTTTTTCACAGAAAAAAATCGGAAATCTCCTGACAGTCCTTTTGTCTGCATCATGGAAGAAGGCTGCTCTTCCTAACAATCCCATGCCTGCACTGGTGTCATCAGTACCCTCTCAGGGACCAGACTTCTGTGTCAGTTACTCAGTGGAGATGGGGACGTGTGGCTCACTGATTCTATACTACAGAGCACTACAGGAGACTCTTAGATGCAACTCTACACAGACAGCAGCTAGCTAAGGCATGCTGCAAACTGAGACTACAGCTCCTTTGGTGGCAAGCAGTGGAGAATGTGTTCTAGAATTCTGAGAGAATACATCCTAGACATCCTTTTTCATGGTTTTCTGAAAGCACACATTTAGTTTACTAAACTGAAAGACTAAATGGCTAATCCTCATCACATCTTCTAATTAAGATGCCTTTCTTACAAATAGAAGGTTCTTAGGAAACAGCACACTGTTAGGTGCCTACCGAGGCCACATTCTCATTCCTCTCCTATTTGCAGTCCATGGCACTATTTTCACACCTCAGCAGATGCACCAAAAGCCTCTGGTGCATCAAACCAATATCAACTATCCTGAATTAATTACTTCCTTCAATCTCAGCTCAGTAATGAGTCTCCCTGGACACCAGCAAGATTAGACAAATAAATAAATAAATAAATTAAGGAGTCGCCAGCAACGCAGAAAGGAAGGCATGAAATAAGCCGTCTCTGCTCTCTGCCCCTTTACGCTGTTAAACACTTCTGATTGGTTAGTATTCAGGAGCAAGGCTCACTTCTAAGAATGATCTTTCTTTCAAACAGTTCAAGTTTTCAGACCATTGAGGGAGAAAAGCTATTCTCAACTCTTACATTGCAGAGCAAAAGCACTACAGTGCTATTTTTATGTAAACAAATTCTAAATCCTCAGCTTCATTTTATGTTGAGAATATTAATACATGCAAAATATGCATGGAGATCTTAACATTTAATCTGCAACCATTCCAATACAGATCCGTCTTGTGTAGCGGCTGCTAAATTGTGTTTGCCATTTTATCTTTTCATTTTGTTTTGGTTTGCTTTGCTTTGTTTTTGAGTCAGTGTGCTACTGTGTATCCATGCTGGTTTGGAATAACATAATCCTCCTGTCTCAGACTCCCAACTGCTGAATATCCTATGTATGGATAGTGCCTTCTTAGTGTACTGATTTTTAAATTCTTCTGCCCATCAGAATCATTCCTGTAGATAGTAATTATACATAAGCCAGGTATCTACTTTTTTTTTTCCACTAGAAAAAGTTTTGGT